CATCCCAGCCTTTCCCTTGGCTGCAGGCAGGTAGTCCTGCCCTGCTGTGTCCTTCCCCTCGCTCTGGTCCTCCCGCCATCCGTGTTCTCAAGTCCCCTTACTTCTTCCCTGCCCGCTTGTTTGAGCCCTCACTGCTGGCCCTCTCACCTTGGAGCCTCCTCCAAGGCTAACACCCCAAACCACTGAAGGTCCCAATCCGGTCCAGTTTCAGCCCAAAGCAGCCCCTGGGCATGGCCTTCCAGGCCCAATCCCCAGGCAGTGCCCACTTGCGATTTGTGAGGGTCTTGCGCCAGAGAGAGGGACGGGCAGCTCTAGCCCCCGATGGGAGGAAGGGGATGGTGGAGGAGAGCAACTGAGGGCCGAAGCTGGACCCCTCCTTTGTGTCCTCTTCGGCCAGCGTGGACTCAGGCTCCAGGGGCAACAACTGGGAAAGGAGCATCTGGGATAAACAGAGAGGAGAGGGAGGTGAGAGCGGAGTTGCCTGTGCTCCTGGCAATAAGCTTTGTACCCCCCTTGCACTCCTCTGCCCCACACCTTCTCTAGGGCTCGGGCAGGACATAAAATGGTGCCTGCACACAGGCACTGTGCCTGTGACATTGCATCCAATTGTAGGGAACAGCCAGACCAGCAGCTCCTGCAGCCTGAAAAGATTTTGCTGTCCAGAGTAGCAGGGAGGCAGCTGCTGTGAGCCTCTGCCTTCATGCAGATTGCCCTGCTCTTGTCAAACAGCCAGACCAGCAGCTCCTGCAGCCTGAAAAGATTTTGCTGTCCAGAGTAGCAGGGAGGCAGCTGCTGTGAGCCTCTGCCTTCATGCAGATTGCCCTGCTCTTGTCAAACTGTGTGTCCCCCCAGTACTTGGAAGATAAATGAAAGGCTTCAGTCTTTGCTCCTTTTGCTGATGCTGAGCACCTCTGCGTGCTCAGGCTGCTGTGTGGCATTTCTTTTCTTCCATAGGGCTGGTGGGGAGGACAGACCTGCCCCAAAATACCTGCTGCTAAAGATGAGGGGGAGGCAGGAGCAGCAGTGCTGGGGGAGCAGGTGTGAGGAAGGGGGGCTCCTCATC